TCGAGCATCATTAGCACCAGCAGAGTCCCAGCAGGAAAGATGCAAATCCTTTGGTGCATGACTAGGCGCAAAACATATAAATTACAGTTTTTAACAAATGTATGTAGTATTATGTAGTTTATGAACAATGCTGCTCGTGCTCTGATGATGCCAATGGTGCTCGATATAACTGCTACCTCAAACCTTCCCCTGCCCTTACCACACTTTCTTCTCCAGAGATAAAGATTTACAGTAGCCATGTTTGATCACGTTCACTGTGTTCTTGGCGTTTTTGCAAATAAATACATACGTCCTGGTGTCGGCTTGCGGCCGACATTTCTAGCACCACCTGGGCTATATGGCTTCTTCATATTTGTGGTGGAAAACGCTGAAGAAGCCTTTGTTTTTGCATTTTCTAGCCCGAAACTATCTGTGCTTACGGGGTTCGCGGACGCGGAGGTGGCTCCAAAATCGCCCATTGGGTGTGCCCGCACCCGCGCGCGCGCGAGTGTGTGTGCGTTCGTGTGCGTGTCCGGGTGTGCATGCGCGTACGTGCGTCTGAAGCTGAGGTTGCCAGGCTTTTACCATCAGACCCTTGTGCGCACACCTGTGTGGGGGTGTGTATGCGCAGGCGTAAGAAGCTGTGCTAATCGTCAATTTTGCTGTACCCTGCGGATACGCGCAGTCCAAGCCTGTCAGTTTGGTTAACAGTTAATCATTTGATTACTTTCTGGTTGAGAAATCCCACTCGACATGCGGCAAGCAGCTCAATTCTTCGTGGTCTTCTGAGTCTCCCCGCTGGTCCCCGACAAGGTTGCGATGCCTAGCACGGACATGTCGCTTCTGTATCAAAAGCCTACCAAAGTACCAATTCCTCATGAAAAAGGCTCCTGGTCACGGTGGCCTGGTCACCTTGAAACCCTTTTCTTGAGTCGTTGCCAGTCATGTGATACCCTCCATCGATGAATCACGCAAACTGACAATGGTGTGAGGCCAGGAGTCTGGCCGCCGGGTTTCGCAAAGTTGCGGGTAAATCGGCAAAATTTGGCCTTGGTCAAAGATAGTGAAGGGTCAAAGCAGTGCAATCCAGCATGTGATTTGATGTGATTTGCTATGGCTTGATATCTCGGTCAAAGAAGTGGAAAACAAAAAATAAAAGTATGTTCATGCTTTTCGGCACCTTGGATGCCTGAAGCTTAAAGAAGGGTGTGCTCAACAAAGCGACAAAGAAACAAAACGGGTCTGCAAATCTTAAATTGAGATATGCCAGACCCTTAATTAAGGTCTTTCTGCACCACCTTGCTCGTACGAGTGTTGCTTGGGATGCAATCGTTGGTCGTTGGCTATTCCTGGAACTCGGTGGACAAATGTTCTGCGTGGCATTGGATTGTTTAGTATATAGCGGGGCTGCGTGGCCGGTTTGAGCCGTGCAAGAGAAAGGTTTCAAACTTGCGAGAGACAGGCTTGAAGCCATAGAGATAGAGGCAGACTTGAACCGTGTCAGAAAGTGTTTTCGGATCAATTTTCTGTGTTAGGTGGGTCAATAGTGTGGCGAGACCGGGGCTGCGACCCCTCCCGCCAACCTAGCGCGGTTAATTGCGCGTGCGACCTCCTTGCCATTTGGGAGAATATTTCAGGCGCACAAGGGCAACATGCGAAAACGGGAGGGGCAAGAAACCTCGCAAATACCATGAAATAACGGCGTTTTCAGATCTTGCGGAAAATGGCACAAGAAAAAAAACACAGGTGTTTCTCGACTTTAAGAAACATGAAAAACACATGAACATTTATAAACATGCCTGGAGGGGCACCCTCCTTCAAGATAGCTCAAGATGGCCCCAAGCTGGCCCATGGCACAACTTGGGCCATCTTAACCCAAGCTGGCCCCCAGATGGCTTCAACATAGGCATACATAGGCTAAGAATGGCTAAGATAGCTCCAAGATGGGCCAACATTGCCCTATAATGGGCTAACAGTCGCTAAAATATAGGTGCTACATAGGCCTACACGACAACGACAACAACAACAACAACAGCCTGCTGTCCCTTTCCCTTCCCCCATGCCTTCCCCCTTCCTTTTGCTCCCTACATAGGCCCTACCCCCCCTTTCCTCTTGCCCCTCCACTTGCTTTCCCCTGCCCCTGAAATATATTATCATCATCACGAGTAAGCGTTGACGCGGGCGGTGCAGCACTTTTGTTCTACGGAGCATACCACTGCGCTCAAATGACGTCGGCATCTCCTTCAGCATGTCTGGTCGTTGAACACAAAATATACAAAATACACTCTCAAGAAAAAGGAGATTGGATCGACGCGTTGGTCAAAATTGCATGAAATGATTTACTTGACCTGTGAAGCCAAAGCAGTTCGTGTCTATGACATTCACACATTTCAAGAGTGAAATTTTGTCACTCTAAGGAAGCTCCATCGAACATTGTTCTGCCCCATGCAGTACGCACAAAACAAAAAACTGCACAAACCCGAGGGTCCGAGGGCCCATGCAGCTGGCCAAACCGGAACCCCAATGAACCCAAGCGCCCGGCATACCTAAAGCTGCCGGGCTTGGAGCATTGACCCCTTGTGGGGTGCCTGTGCATCTTCTCGCTTTTCGGAAAGAACAACTTCTCGTCCCCCAGCGGATTGTAGAGTGAAAAGCTTTTGATTGCAAAGCCCCGTATAATTGCATCAGTCAGTCTCCGATGGGTTCATGGATGGTTTTTGTGGGGAACCTTCCGGGTGCTTTTGGCTGGCTGGACAATAGTTGTATAAGTCATTATATACTAAGTTAAATATATATATATATATATATCCTTTTGTATGACGACATCAAGCCAGTCTTCCTTCACTGCACCTTGGCTACTACAAGGTCAGCAAATTTAACACTTCCGCCGTTTGGCAAAACTTGCAGCCCATCCTGACCTTGGTTTTGCTGAACATAGGCAGCAAAAGCATGGTTGGCCATGCCTTGGCATGTATGTCGGGCGTCTCCAAATTAATGCTCACACCTGGTGTTTTGACCTGACACTCACAGAAATTGTGTTCGTAGAAAATTATCGATCCACTGCAAAAAGTGTGGTTGGTTGATGGTTGTCATTTAAAAATGTCAAAATGCAATGTTCCAATTGAAAGAAAAACATTGGCAGCAGGGACAGCTGGTGACCCGCTGAAACGAGAGCCGGACCCATGGACTGCAGTTGCTGGAGTCCTGATGCAAGTGCACGTGCACCCAGCCCAATAAAGTCCAATAAAGTCCGCAAAATCGGCGGTGAAGTAAACATACGAGCCTGAAATCTCTCTCTGCAGGGTCTAGCTGTGGCGCAAACATCCCACTAGGACACTAATAGCGCGCTTCTATGTGGTTTTCTTTGCCAAGAGCACTCGACTTGTCTATGCTACAAACATGCATTACACAGTGGTCTTGGAGCTGTTCCAAAACACCACTCGTCCTGAAAGCCCTTGCAATCCGTTGAGGTTCTGCAAACCTTCAGCGCACTGTTTCGGCAAGGTTTGTGGACTGAACGGGCCAAGTTTAAACTTGAAAGGTTGGAGGCCACCGCTTCTAGGGTGGAGGCCATCACTACTAGGATGAAGGCCATCGCTCTACAAGCAAGATTAAATTACATGGGGGGTACAGTACATCCCGGAGACGCCAAGTTGCACCTCCCGGCGTCACGAGAGCACGAACGCAGTTATTGAAGGAATCGGGAGTATTCTGTGGTTTCATGGAGCACATGGGCAGCTTAATTTGGGAAGGGTGAATTGTGGTCGGGTTCGAGAGTTGCTGAGTGTTACTTTTTCGGATGAGGGAAGTGTACCTCTCTGTCTCCGGTCCGAACCCCACAAAAGGTTTTCCACCTTTCCACCTTTTGTGGGAAAAACCTTTTGCGCTATTCATCTTTCGGTTTTAGATGTTTTAGCCGGCACTCGCAGCAACTTCAGTTTGAATGCAATCCAACACAACTAACTATATAATGATACTAATATGCTGCTATACACATTGTGTATAGCAGCATATTAGTATTGACATGTACACCAACACCAACACTCTTCAGAAACACAGTAAGCGTGTTCACACCAGGCAACCAATATGTGTTCATACCAGGGACTGTTCCTACGTTCTGCGTTTTTCGGCAAGTATGAGGCGTTTCCACATGCTCCTCGTGCTTCCAGTCTTTGCAGTCTACCTTGCCTCTTGGCGTGTTCATCATATCGTTGAACCGATGAAAGCAGTGTAAAGGAATTTGATGCTGTTTTTCTTTTCTGATACAACCTCTCGCTTTTCATGTCAAATGTGATTTGTACAACGCAGAAAAACATCATCTTGCGCAGCACTGGCAAAGAAAACGAAGGAAAGCCAACACTACGTCATGAGTCTCGAGTTCTACAAGTTGGCGTGTGAGGCTGCGAGAAGAACAAGTCCGGAAGCTGAGCGGTTTGTGTGCAATGTGGCATACATTTACATCTTGATTTATTTAAGCAGGCCATTCGCCGGGTGGAGAACTTGTCAAACAAACATGCGGCAAACTAAACGCTGCATTCCAAGCTGCTCATATTCTGCATGTTCAGGTTGTTGCCCTGCTGGGAGGAGGAAAACCGCTTTCCATTACTTTCCTTGTAATACCCGTTAGTGTTGGAGACAGGCTGATAATGGCAAGATTGAGGAAAAATCTCCCATCCGCTCCCCAGATTCTGCTGGTCTCTGTATGCTTATGATATCTTATGATATCTAAACACTTAGACTCGCTTCAGTTTTGTCCGCTCTTTCAGCAAAATCCGCACTCCTGAGCTTTCTGGTGACACACTCTTGGCAGGCGAAACTGGCTCCAAGTTGCGACTGCTTCTGCGGCACGTTCCAAGAAGCCTTGATACCTGTGATTACCAGTCTAAAGAAACCTCATGGCAAAAGAGTAAAGAGTAGTAGTCAGTGGTAAGTGGTGAGTGAGTGGTGAGGGTTGGGCCAAGTTGTTGGTTCTCAGACTGAGTGCCGGTGTCGGTCCTTGCCCTAGACATCCCCATGTGGCTTCACTTGCGGCCGGACAACTTGCGCCACTTCTCCCACTCCTTGGCTCTTCAGGACCAGGAGTCACAAAAGGCGACTCAGGCGACCAACTACAGCAAGCCCGACATAGCGAAATGGTCCGAGTCTATGGATGTCTACAGTCGGTTTGAATTGGTTTGAGTGTTCCGTATTGTGCCACTAAGATACCCTCTTCAGCATCCAGGGAGACTTCCAGCCTGGCAACTGCCAAGGCCTTGGCTCCCGAAGCATGTTGCACTCAGGCAGGGTGTAGCCGATTACCTCCAACAAGTGCAAAATGAAGCAAAACACTATGCCGTGCCAAGAGTTTCAGTACAAACAAACAGCAGTTCAGGCATGGAGCTACTGTTCCTGACTTGCGTAACTGCAAACCGCAAACCGAATCCTGCACCTTCCATGCAAAGTTAGCTTTACTGTGAATCAGGAACGCTATGGCTATGGATCTTTCTCTGACGCAACTTGCACAAGCTGTGCAATTTCGATGAAGGAGGAAAGGAATCCACCAAACACCGCAAACAGTGACAGTTACAGTCCATTCAAAACAATACTTGTCCTCTCGCTTGGTCACGGCCTTCCAGGCCGGTGTGAAGGGATCTTCTGGTTTCTGGATGAGCCCCTTCTTCACTGAGCCCCGCAGAATCGCTATGAAGAGGCGGTCCTGCAAAGCACCAAGTATATATAAAACTAAAACTATCCACGATCAATAAACGTGTTTTCGTTGCTAGCGGACTTCGCCTGTGCTTAACGCTTGCACTGTGCAGTCCTTGTGCTTGGCAGCAGTGTTTTTATGAAGCACACCTTGCACTGTCACCTCGTCAATGATCTCACAAGCCTGACCGCTGAGGACTGCTGGTCTTGCAAAACTCCTCTGGCATGAGTGCCCAACCTGGGTTAACTACGATTTCTAATATCCCTACTCCTAAGTGAGGGGGGGCCTGCACAAATGTAGGCTACAGTTTTGGTAGCCCGTTCCAAAAATGTAAGCTACAATGTTCAGAACAATGTAAGTTACGTTTTTGTTTGTTCCTTCAGAAAATGTAGCTTACATTTTCTCAGTCCAAAGTGTACAAAAATGTAGCTTACATTTTTGCAGGTCCCCCACTCCATGCTGAAATGAAGATGTAGCCAACACCTCATGGCCCTAATAGGGTGTTTTTATGCAAAATATCAGCTAAGTCATGTATATTCTTTCTGTACATATCTGATTATATCTAATTAAATCATATTATCAGGCAACTTACATTGCTTTGATCAACTTCATTCGGATTTTGCATTAAATTCTCAGTTGCCATTTGGTCGTAGGGTTGTTTCACCATATACATCTTTACTTCTGTAGTCTTCATGTGTTGCCTTTCAATGTCTAGGTACATACCACCGGTATACGTAAATCTGTGAGTTCAATTTTTTCGTCTAGACGTTTCTTCCTTCCCGTTCTTTTCTGTATTTCTTTCCTTCTTCCTGGATACCAATG